TCATGCATACTGGTAAACTTATTAGAACTCAGGTCAGAAGTTGCTATGTCATTTACCAGTACACTATACATTTCAACCCTGAGTTAGAACCCAAATATGAGAATATTGGCAAACATGCTTTTAAAAAAAGGAAGTATTGTAAATATATCTACTCCGTGAAGCAGACTTTCTTGAGAAACAAACATTTACTAAGATAGTCTCCTCAGCCGCACCATAACTCAGCGGTTGTCGCTGGCTTCCCACCGTGGCGGCCCAGGTTCCATTCCAGGTCTGGTCAAGTGGGATTTGTGGTGGACAAAGTGGTGCTGGGGCGGGTTTTCTCCAAGTACTTCAGTTTCCACTGCCAAACTTCATTCAACCAAATTCTCCATCATCATAATCACCCGGGGCAGGCTACAATAGGCCAATCAGTGGCCGCCGTGCCAAGTGGACCCAGTTGGACTCCACCCCCCAATAAGCGAATTTAGAAAAAAAAAATAATATCCTCACCTTTTATTCAGTCCAGAGGTTCAGTACCACGTTCACAGTAGCACACCATTGCACCTTATACTGATCCAGATGAACTCAGTCCACACCATCCCATTTCACTTAAGATTCACGTTAATATTACTATCCTATCTATGCCTAGATCTTCCAAATGGTCTCTTTCCTTAGTTTTCCTAGCAAAATTTTGTGGGGTTTTTTTTTATTGTTTCCTCTCCATATTACTTTCCATGCCTATCCTATTCTCCTTGATTGGTTAGTCTATTAATAATTGATGATGTGCACAAATTATGGATGTTACATATTTCTCAAATATTAGTTGCTACACAAAACCAGGTTTATGCATCAAGTTGTGCTAGAATCACTTTCATCTCAGAAGTACTCGTGGCTGTCGTATTGGTATTATTGATGGAACAAAGGGATATTGCTTGATGCCACAGTGTTCATCCACAGTTTAATGAAAATCTTAGGTGGTTAAAAATTATCTAGAGATGATGAAAGAGACACATGGACATTGGATGTGATTTGGTAAACTTTTCATTCCTCAGGAAATGAGAAAAATTGTCCTAAGTGTGTGAGACCTGGTGCAACTTGTGCTGAATTAGGACAAATCATAGTTGTTTTTGTGGCCTGTGACTAACAAACTAACAGACCTGCTTCACTCCTTCAGTGCTACTAACATGACTCTAGACACTAACTATACAAGTATAGATATGGAGGGTGAGGAGGAGGAGGAGGAAGAAGAAGAGGAAGAGTTTATGGATGGGGAAGTGGAAGGAGTGGAGGAATATGATATGAATGAGGAGGATGACATGTATGATGAGGATGATACTGAGTTTTTTAACATTGGGTGAGTCAAATTTATATCATAATAATGTAGTTCAAACAAAATAGAAGCAGGAAATTCCTCTTACTGTCTATATACAATTGTCTCTACAAGTGGTTTATAGTAATTGAAGTTGTGGTTGAATGAAGGAAACCAAGGAGGTGCATGACCACTAATTGGGAAGTTAATATTGCCTTGCTGTGGGAAAAAATAACAATTTTGCCATCAGACTTAGGAAAGCTATGGCTTATGCTGCAGATTTAACCTCTAAATTCCAACAGGCAATATAAAAGACTTGAGTGTGTTTGCTTGTGCATAGGCATTCATGCAGTTTTATTTTAAGATATTAACATATAGCAGTCAATTAAGCTGTGTGATGATAATTATGTTAACTGCTCTAGAAGAACAGAGTGGTTTACACTGTGTGAAGAACCTTATATTTTGATTGGTTGTTTCTATTCTGTGAGGGTTGGTAATATTTGGATATGTGGCATGTAGTCAGTATTTGCCATCACATACAAATAGTTTCATTTTACTTTTATTTATCCATTTTCATCTCATGTTGCAGTAAATATAAGTCTTCTTGGTAGCAGAATTCACATAAAGGAAGTTTTGTGTTACATAGAAGTTTCATAAATGTGACTGACAGTACAGCCCACTATGAGCCTTGGTCTTCATATGGAGGTGTAGCTCCATATTTCTGAAAGACTTGTGCAAGCAGTTAATGTCATATCCTGGGAAATACTCCTGGTACCTATTAGATAGGAGGCTGGGTGGACCAAAGAACCAACCTGGTTCAGGTGCAAGGAGAGGAATCTCTGCCTCTGTTGAAAATTGAACTGTGATTCTCCAGTTCTCCAGCTCATAGACTGTTCATTACACTGACTGAGCTACCCATCTCAGAACTTATAGACTACATGAATAGTTCATATTGTATATGTCCAGGACCCAGAGTCTATTGCATGGAGGTGGAGATCTTTGTTATAAAGATATTTGAGTATGTATACACACACATTCACATTACATATCATTCACAACTAAAAACAACCACCAAATTGATCTGGACATCAGTTATGCCAACAAATTAATCTGTAAAGTACTTGATACAAAAGTCCTTGGAATACATGTAGACAGTACACTGTCTTGGAAAATACATATTGAACAAATTATACCTAAATTAAATGCAGCTTGCTATGCGATGAGATCAATTAAGCCTTTTATGTCACAGGAAACATTGAAGATGGTTTACCATGCCTACTTTCATTCTATTATGAACTATGGATTAATATTTTGGGGGAACTCTTCACATAGTGTAATAATTTTTAAAATACAAAAGAATATAATTAGAATCATTACAGGATGTAGAAGTAGAGATTCATGTAGAGAATTATTTAAGAAATTAAAAATTCTACCTCTTCAATCGCAATACATATTATCGCTTCTCTTATTTGTTGTTTACAACAAAGATAAATTCAAATTAAATTCTGATGTCTATAACATGAATACTAGACAAAAATATAACTTCCACCTACCCTCATCAACTTTATCAGTATATCAAAAAGGAGTCTACTTTACTGGCATAAAAGTGTTCAACAATCTGCCACAAAGTATTAAAAACTTGGGCAATGATACTAAAAAGTTTAAATCAGAGTTAAAGAATTATCTACATGCTCATTCCTTCTACTCTTTAGATGAATACTTCAATGTAAATAGAGAATGATGTAAAATTAAGTTATATTAATTTTTAAGCTAAAATTGCCTGTACTTATGTATGTAACCTTTTGACTTGTTCTGTATCCAAAGGTACTAACCTGCTTAGGATTTATAGAATGTAAATAAATTCAATTCAATTCAATACACACACATATACTGTGACATCATTACATGGTCAATTGCAAGGTAACAACTAAATGAACAACTATAGCGCAACAGATGTTCATGCAACAATGGAAGAACTGTCGAAGACAGTGACACTTGAGTTAGTTGCGAAGCAGTAAGGATACCAACAGAGAACATTGTTTGGATCTGTTACCAGGCAATGGCTAATGAAGACATAGAAAATTGAGAATAATTAGGTGGGGTGTAGTGAGAAACTGCGTGTATGAATTAGCAAGAGTGCTATGACCACTTGTAGTTACAATTTATAAGTCTTCAGTAAATTCCAATCCAAAGCCTATGTCTAGTCATTAATACATGACAATATTGTCATGTGTATTAGTGACTAATGGATGTGGTTTGGATCACTGAGTCAATTTATTGGATATTCACCAGTCATAACTACAGTTAATTATAACACTTCAGGATTACTGTAATTATAACACAAAATAAAGTCTTCTCTATCTGCTTTAATAAGTCGTTGCTAGGTAACAGATCTAAACAATGGCTATTCCTTTGAAAAGTTTCCCTTGTCCGTTTCCTGGCAACGGATTCTAACACAGGAACTATAACTCTCACACTCCAGATATCACTGCACTACAGCACACATAAGAGTCCTCAAATCACCTGTTATATCTTCACAGGCTGACTTCTTGTACTCTTCTGTACTCCTAGTTCCAATCTGCTCTATTCCTCAAAGTCAAAGTCACATTGTGACTGATAGTCAGTCAGTCTTGGTGACGAGCCAAGTCTGGGGTTTATGATCAGATATTTATTACTGTTTGACAGTTAAGGGCTTGTTATTTTGGGGCCCCCTCTCTGACAAGAGGACAAGTCTGCCTTTGTCAGAGCCATTGTCTACAGTAGTAAGTCAGTTGCCGTAATGTAAGGGATATTTACATTTTACATGTTAAACATGTTAATAAATGTATATAAAATGTATACAGGACCTCTGTCAGTCCAGGCCCAGTACAGCAAATTATGCCCTATTTCTAGTAGCTTCCACTCCAATGGCAGTCTAGTCACTTGAACTGCCACCAAGTTTAAGCCTCTTATACTTTCTTTGTTGGGCTTTGCCTTGTCCAATATTGCGAAGTGGCACAGACCGCATAGGAAACCTCTTTCACTCAGAATAGTTGATTCCCTGTTGTTGTCATGTTCTTAAGGGGGGAGATGTACACTGGCCATTGCATAGTAATGGCAGTTCTTCTATTGTTACCTGTATTCGTTGCCATAAGAATGTTTACAGACATTCTTCTATTGTTATAGAAACGGCCCATATATTACGGTATTACCATTTCTTTTTATTTACCATAAGAATTTTCTTCTGAGAATAATGGACAATATTTCTCATGGTGACATCAATATTTTACAGGAAAAAAGGTGAAAGAACAAACAGGTATGAGTTCAAGTTCCGGACAACTGAATCAAATGGTCTGATTCTATGGTTGGGGAAGGGGAGGACACTTTCTGGGGACTTCCTGGCCATTGCCTTGGTGAATGGGTATGCAGAGCTTAGCTTTAATCTTGGTCGACAACACAGTTTCCTTGCCATCCGCTCCAAGGTAAAGTGCCTATCATGTGCATATATCTAAAAATTATGATTTAAAATTGGTATCAAATGTTTTAATATGGCAGTAAGTATCCCTACTTCATGTCTGTAATATTCTTAGTTTAAATCTGAGCGCAAAGAATTGTCTGTTCTGCCTTTAATTGTCTGCATTTTTACTGAATACCTCCATACAAATTGGTAGTGTCAGATCTAAAAATAGTTTATTACTGCTTTTTTCTGTATCCTTTCTTCCCATCCTTCATTGCTACGTAACCATTGCTGGTAATGAAGTGTTTTCAGATAAGCCAAAGCAACAAACTGAAACAGACCATGACACCTTCTTCTATGTTGCTCCCATGTCACTCTCTCATAATTTCTGAATGAATCCTAGATTCTCTGCAGCTGATGTAGCATTCTTGAATAATCTACCACTCCATGAGCCAGAATGCGAGTGTTGCTTTGTCCTCTAGGCTTTGTTCCACAGCCCTTCCATGCCCTGTACTGCAGAAACATTCCAGTCTAGGAATAAGTTCTTACTGTCAGAAGAAGAGACAGTGTTGTGTTCTGGTAGGAAGTAGACTTATTGGGCACTGGATACTCTCATCTTAAAAGGATTACAGTTGGCCATTCAATTTTCCTTCCCTGCTTTCACTCACTCCCTTTCTTCATTGCTTTCTCCCCAAAGTATCTTTCTGATGTCCTCTTTTTAGTTCCTCATTGTACCATAGTAGCAGACTACATACAAGTGGGCTCAAACAATAATTTCTCTGGCATGCTTTTTTATATAGCCTCATAATGCACCATGTGGGCATTGCTGTTCCCAGAAGTTCCTCAGTAGTTCAAACAGCAGTGTTTATGAAGAATTCTGAAAGGGAACAAATGTTTCAGAGGAAATTGTTGTGTCCGTATTCAGCTTTTCTTGCTGCCTTCTTCATGTTGGTTTGTTGCTTGGCTTATTCTTCAGCCCTGATGACATTCTTCTCCAAAACATCAGCTGACTTTCAATAGACTACACAGCATTAAATCACAGAATTCAGCAGTCTCTGGTGCCTCGACTATTGTAGCTGTCGTGGTTCACTCTACAGTATTTCTGCAGTTCCCACACTCCAGAGTTTATGGATCTTAGATGTCCTCACGCAGTACTTTCTTTAGAGTTCATCCCTGTCTCAAGAATGCATCCAAAGTTGGAGAAGATGAAGAAGAAAAACAAATAATGAAATTTGAAGACTGCTGTTTTCTGGAACGTGACTTTTGGTAGAAGAGTACCCTGTGTGTGAAAGAAATTACGTGGTTATAGCTAGAGGTAGGTTGAACCAGTAGAAGTAAGGAGAAGAGTATAAAGAATATTGGACCTACCACTTCCTATATCCATACTGTTTCTTCCACACTCAGGTTACACTTCTGTTCTGAAGATGGAGGCAGCAGCCTCATCAGAAATGTTGATAAATATTTACTAGACTTCATGGTGTCCATCCATAAAGGCAATAATCTTAATGGTCAGTACCGTGAGAACCTCAGAACTCACCAAAAACTAACTAATTGCAATATATTTTTATTTCAGTTTTTCATTAATTCTTTTTCAAGTTGTTTTTTCCTATGAAGTGATTCAAGACTTTTGTTCTAGGTTCTTGTAAGTGATGGAACTTGGCACACCTTGGTAGCACATCGCCGCAAAAGACATGCATGGCTGCAGATAGATGATGAGTCACCTGCAAGGGGCGTGGCAGATCCTGGTGCCACATTGCTCAACACCAATGCTCGCTTGTGGATAGGTGAGTTTAATTTTAAACAATTCATATATTAGATTAGCATGATGAACAGTGCCAATGTAATAATTTTATAATCCTGACTTTTGTCACAGATAGGGGTTCAGTGCTTGTACAGTCTATTTTAATTCATGGTTTCTTTTTAAGTACTGCATGCTCCCACATTGTGGAAGAGATGTATTCATGAGAATTTGTCAATATTGTGAAATTCCATAAGACAAGCCCTATTTTTCCACCAACTTCCATATTATTAGTGAAGCTGATTTATGCATTCTTTTCAGTTTAATTTTGTAATAAAACATGCATTTTACCATTTTACCCACCATAAAAATAGTGGGTACGTTGCCAGATGTATTGTATGAACGTGAACTTGTTGGCCTCTTTTGGAATATCTTAACTAAGGGTAATGTACTCAGAATAGTAGTAATACTACCAGTTACCACTGAGTGTCACTAATGCATGTGCATATGCAATCTCAAAGTAATAATTTCCCACAAAATGTAGTTTTGGTTCAAATTGCTTTTGTATGTATGTATGTATTTATTTCGTCTCTATAGATCATTGTTACATGATATAGGACAAGTCAGTTACTGTACATTGGCTGATTACAGTAAGAGAATAAAGTTACAATACTTAAAATTGTTTACAATAGTTAAGATTTCACATAGTGTGAGGTGGAATCCATATTAGGTCCCCTCAGCACGTCAGCTTCCATATGTCCTATTGTGCCTGTACTGGTGATAATGTTTATGGAGAATTTGATGGAATGAGGATTGGCAGGGGAAACCGAAGTACTCGAGGAAAACCTGCGCCAGCGCCATTTTGTCCATCACAAATCCCACTTGACTAGACCGCAGCGGTGGGAAGCCAGCGACTAACCGCTTAAGCTATTGCACGGCCTTTGAGATAATACTGGTGAATTTGGTGATACCACTGGTATAACGTTTCACTGTAGACTCTACACTGCAACATCTCACTACATCTGTTCTCCCTTCTTGGTGCAGCTTCTTGGCATCTGCATTTTAAAGAACTAATATTTATCCCTGATTCCAATAGGAGTGAATTTATTGTCTGTGTTGTGAATTTTATGGTCATGTTTTATAAAATCAGTAAGATCAAAACTCTATAATCATATATATTCCACAATCATCTGTCATCACTGTTCAGGTGAGCGTTAGGCTTCACCAGCTAGGATACCATCATTTGGACTTTTGCCTCTGATGTACAAATGGATGGACACAGATTAAAGATAATTCTGTTTAAAAGGTATTGAGAATGGTGCAAATGGTGTAGTATGGAATAAAACTTAAGGTAACATGTGTTATCTGGCTGAAGCTTTGTGTAATCCAAAGGTGTTTACAACAGTACATGTAAAAGCAAAGTAATGGTATCCGTGTAACAGGCCATGGAGACCCATAAGGTTGTGAGATGTTGAGGTTCTCACATTTTCTAGACAATCAGCTCATAGATGGCAGTAAGATTGTCAGCCTTACATGCTGGCTGCCCTTTACCCTCAAGAACATTCCAAGAATATTCCTGGTACTCATTTCTGTTAGAGGCTAAGTCAACCCCAGGGCCATAATGCGGCTGGAAGGATTAGGTAAATTGAAAAAATCCAGTTGACCTCATAGGGATTTGATTCCGCAACCTTCCGGCTTGTAGCATAGTGCCACAACCAGCTATGCTACCATATGCCCCCACAGCACATGTAAAAAAGTAATTTAAATACAATTTGGCATAATTTTGGCTTTAAAATAAAAATATGTTGTGACCTTAGAAACAATCAGTGCTACACAATGAAGAACACAGTCTTCTGGATTGTAATGCCATGTAGTTGGGGGAAGTCCCTATATTTTGAAGAAACAATCTCGAAATCAGCTGAGTTAGTCACCTGCTTCTGTTGGTTTCTTGCTTAGCTTACTTTGACTCTGAAGGAGGAGACGCTACTTTCCTCTGAAGCATCAGGCTGTCTCCAGGCAACCCATAAACTACACTCTTCATACTTCCTGCTTAAACCCAACTTATTGCAACACAAATATTATAAATTTAGTAACATGGAAATTCATGGGACTGTATTTCAACTTCCCCGTATGCCTTTACAGCATCATGCTTAATTAATTAAGGACAGGGACAATTTTATGATATAAATACAGACTGTATATATTCCTAAAACTTTTACATTTACATTAATAAATTATATGTATTATTACACAAAAAGCATGACACAAACCATACATTTTAAAGAATGAAAATGCACAACTTTCAAATTAGAAACACCAAATGCATGAACAACCCATATTATATTTGATTTGTTTCATTCTGGTCCATCACACTAACAAATTACAAAGACAAAACAACTCCGTCCAGTATGACTAATGGAGTTTTTACTACATGCAAGGGCGTTGAGTTTTCAAGAAGTAAAAACTCCATTAGTCACACTGGACGGCGTTGTTTTGTCTTTGTAACCCATATTGTGCATGTGATGAAGAAAACGTTCTTCTTTTGCCAGATGATTGTAATTTATGACTGTTATATTCATGTTTTAAAGAGCTTTAGATTTTAAATTTAATCAGATATACTAAGATTATTATATGGATTTGAGTTTCTCACAGCCATATTTATGAAGAGCTCTATTTTCTTGGTTATCATTACATTATAGTCCATTCAAAGTCAACCAGTGTTTCAAATGAACATATCGCCTCTATCTTCAAGGTTGAAGAGTAAGCTAAGCATGAAAGAAGTGTGAAGCAAGCAGCAATCAAAGTTGCGTGCAGAGCTCTGCTTACTTCCTGCACCACACTCCTTTCTTACTTAGATTACTCGTCAACCATGAGATGGCGTGAACATATTAGGCCAAAGTATTGGTTGACTTTAAACAGACTGCATGTTGTTATATCCAGGAAAATAGAACTGTTTGCTGTGTACATGCGATAAATGTAATACTTGTAGTGTGCTTTAAATAAATAAATAAGTGTGCGTGAATGCATGCATGTGTGTGGCCTGATGATGAAGATTGAAACTTAGCTTGTAGCTGAATATATGATAAGACACTTTTGTAATCTGGAAAGAGTTATATATGAGATTTTTAAGATGATACATTATATACAGGGTGCTTCACGACTTTAGGGCATAATGGCAAGAGATGATTTCCTAGGTCTTTCTGATCAAAAAAGTTCATATAAACGTGTGTCCGATTTTGGACAGTTACGGATTTATGACCGTTTTTTCATTCCCGTACACGCCTTCATGTGAACCGCGTCTGTCATCTGGCAGGTCGCTATTTTTAGCCAGCTACAGACAGAGCATTCTCATTATCTTGACACTTGAGAGGTACCTAAGGCATGGTGGGTTGATATATCCGGCCATGACCAGTGTGGCGGCTACTGGTGTTCAGAACAGTTCTCATCTCGGTGCGTCTGTTACGTTCACAATGCCATTTACATTTTCATTTGAGGAGTACGCAGATATGATTTATGTGTACAGGTTTTGTGACAGTAACTCAGTTCTTGCCATAGCTGAATATCAGCAACAGTTTCCGAACCGTAGAATACCAAACTGGAGATGTTTACTGGAGTTTACCAGGCAATGCAAGATACCGGTAGACTTCCCAGCGTTCGTATTGCAGCCAAGCATGGTGTTAATGAAGGCGTCAATGAAGAAGGCATTTTTCGTATGGTACACCGCAGTCCATGTATGAGTATGCGACGAATTGCCAGCCAGGTCTCCAGACTTAAGCCCATTGGATTATTGTGTGTGGGGATGGATGAAAGAACTGGTTTACAATGCGAAAGTGGCAATGCAAGATGCTTTGCTCGGTCGCATTCTGGACGCCACTGACCACATAAGAAACAACCAGCTGAAGCTGCTACGTGCTACCCGCGCAGTTCACATCCGAGTGGCAGCCTGTGTTTTGGCTGGCGGTGGCATTTTCGAAAATCAGCTTTAAGCACCAATCAATTCAAATTAAAGGTAATTTCACGAAGTTAACTTTACATTCATACTTTAAATGTGTCATGTATTATGCTGGTTTATTATTTTGTTCCGTTTATTGTCAGTAATCATTACCTTCTATTCTGAGTTAAAAACGGCCATAACTCCGTAACCGTCCAAAATCAGACACATGTTTATATGAACTTCTTTGATCACAAAGACCTAGGAAATCACCTCCTGCAGTTATGCCCTAAAGTCGTGAAACACTCTGTATAATGCACTTAAAATTGTTGTTAATATTGCAGGTGGAGCACCCACACTCCCCTCTGGACTTCCAGCGCCATACTACTTAGGATTCAAAGGCTGCATGGATGTAGTTAAAGTATCCAGGAAACCACTAGACATGCTCAACAGGCTTGGAAATGATCGTTCTGTTATCCATTTCTGTCATGATAATGATGTCTGATCTGTAAGATAATTTGTCATTTTGTGTTGACAAGAATACATGTTAGGACATGTCGTGCAATAGGAGCTACCCAACACCAAATCTTTCCAAGACAGTGATTTGTGACTGCTCTATTGCCTATGAGAGAAGATGAAGGAATCTTATGACTGGATGCACTTTGGTGCAAATTCAGCTCATAAACAAAGATATCTTTCCTCTGTGTATAACAGTTTGCTCTAACAAGGTGATGTGAGTATTGAACGTAATTCCTTAATAGTACAAGCACTTTGTTGCTCTGGACATTGCAAAATACGGTGAGATAAAGTGAACAAGCATACGAAAGCATTAAAAATGAAAATCAGTATGATATCAGGGTGTTCAGTATGTCAACACACACAGTGCATAAATGTGTCTTTAATACTGATGATTGATCAAACATTTCAGACTGAAGTGATGTGAATGAGTGAAAGAAGGATATTGATTGTTAAAGAAGAATTTAATTTTTTTCAAGAATTAGTATTTGATATCAGAATGTCCCCTTCTAACATCATAGATTTTTTAAGAGTTATCACAGATAGGAGATAACTGTTTACTTAGGTCATAACATAAGTTGCGTTTTTACATGGCAGAAAATGGATGGAGGAAGAGAACTTGTGATTAAACGCAACACGAAAGATTATCAACTTATTATCTGCAAGCCAAATGTAATTTTTTTTCAACGTTGCCAAAGGTTACAAATGTTACTTCATATTACGAGAGATATGAAACATTCCATCAAGAGAGACAAACTACTGGTACTCATTGCCTTTCCTTTGGATATCCTTTGTTTGCTAAAATATTACTCTAATTGTTATTTTAATTTAGTATTTTTCTTTGTACATAACTGAAATCTGCAGCAAATTATTTCTGCAGTTGATTTAAGATTTCTTGGTATAAATGTTTTTCACATGTTTAATTTTTTAAACATCCCAACGTTTTCTTCAATTTAGGATATAAATTTGCCTGGAAAATTGAGTCAGTATAGTGACTAGTTCCATCCTGGATGACAGAGGAATCTTGTTCAAATTCTGACAGGTGAAAAAAATTTTGCGTCTTTACCTTCGTATCCGAATTGGCTTTGGAGCCCACCCAACCGCCCATCTAATGAGTATGGGGCTTGTTTTCCCAAGGGGTAAAACAGCCAGAGCTGAAACTGAACACTCGTATCTGTCTAATACTGACATTAAGAATGCATGGAGCTATACCTTAATTTTTCAACTTTTCTTCGTGGTATTAATTAATTAAGTATGAGGACCACTATGTAAGTGTCATTGTTTCTTATAGTCATTTAATGACCAATAGCTCAGACTATCTAACCTCAAGTGGCTAGGAGTGAGTGATTAGAAAACAGAAATCAATGTGACAGGCAACTATCCTGGCCCAATTTGAGTATTGTCTGCATTAGTCTGGTGAGAATGAAGGAAACCACGACCACTTCAGTCACAATGGCATGTTTCCCAGCCGAGATTTGATCCATAGACTTTCTGAATATGAAACTAGAATTCTGCCCATTTGACCATGATATTCAATCTGAAATATAATGTTCATTGCAATTCTAAAACATTTATTCTGTGGTGCATATATCAGTTCTTCCATTTCATATTCCTCAGTATCAGTGTATGATATTTATATATTTGAAAATTGTCCAAAGTTATTTTTTTGCACCTGAAATTGTATGCTTTAAAGAAAATACAGATGAATGCGGTAATCTATGTAGAATTTCTGAATGAATAGTACAAGAATTGCCGATACAAAATAAGTAACATAGCAGTCAGTGACCATACAGAAAAAGAATTACATGTTTTAGCTGCAGAGGGCCAACTTCGGGCAACATATTTTTCAAGGAGTCTACTGCTCTCTGCACTTGGTCAAATAATACTCTTAAGGAACGTCTTTGTTGTTATTATTAATTTTGATGATGTGGCCGTTTGTTCCCCATTGTGTGTGACACTCTTGGTTGTCTGCTTCTAGTGTTTCTTTGTGTTCCTTGTACACGAAGCAACACTATATATTTTAATGATATTTTAAACATTTATTGGTCATTTTAGTAACTTAAACGTGATTTAGTGTCGTTTCAAAATTTAAATTGTTGCATTATCGATGGAAAACAAGAGTACAAATAATGTCCAATATACTTTCTCCATAAGTCTTACAGTTTTTTAGATAATACACAAAAGGGGTCAAACTTGTCACAATCATTAAGTCCGGATATGTTCACTGACTTTTGAAATTATTACATTCATGTACCCTGGACACTGCTAGAATGGTAAATTATAGAAGTAATCTGTTAAAATTCTAGATGAATTACAGACTGGCATTCCAAAAAGAGACTTCTTTAACTCTCACTCTCACTCACTCATGGAGCTGAGCCCTTCTGGAGGAGCCACGAATTCTGCAGCTACTCAAGAATTTCCCAGCATTTTATGGAACCCAAAGATTCGTTACCATGTTCACAAAAACCCTACATTGGTCCATATCCTGAGCCAGATCAATCCAATCCATACCATTCAATCCCATCTCTCTAAGATCCATTTTAATATTGTCCTCCCACCTATGTCTTGGTCTTCCTAGTGGTCTCTTTCCTTCTGGATTTCCCACCAATATCCTATATGCATTCCTCGTCTCCCCCATTTGTGCTACATGCCCTGCCCATCTCATAATCCTTGACTTGAACACTCTACTTATATTTGGAGAAGAGTACACGTTATGAAGCACCTCATTATGCAGTTTTCTCCAACCTCCTGTCACTTCTCTCTCTTTGGTTCAATATTCTCCTCAATGCCTTCTGCTCAAACACCTTCAGTCTATGTTTCTCCCCTGATGTCAGAGACCAAGTTTCACACCCAAACAGAACCACCAGAAAAATTATAGTTTTACATATAATTTTTATGTTTTCTGACAGCAGATGAGAAGACAAAAGTTTCTGGACTGAATGGTAGCAAACATTGCCTGAATTCAGTCTACTCTTAATTTCCTCCTGAAACAGGTTTTAATTTCTTTTAGTCATACCCTGATGTCTGAACTGTGCCACATTTTCAAAACTTCTGTTAACTATCTTTATGACTTTTTATCTCAAAAGACAGAAATCATGGTTTCCCAGGCTATATTACAATACTTTTGTGATGACAGTAATTTTTCCATCCAATGTCTATGAAGGGGGAAAATACAAAATGTATGCATTTATGAAATAATAAACAACTGCATTGAGTACCAGTATGTAGCAATGAATCCATAAATGTATTAAATATTTATAGCAAGGGAATGGCAGTGCAACAGATGCATAATAAAGGCAGCCCATCTGATGATGATGGTTGCATTTGTAACAACTGGAAGTTGTTACAGTAGTGAAAGTGTTGCAAACTTAGCTGAATGGAAAGTGATCAAATGTTCAGAATACTACAGCAGACAGTTATTACATTTGTAGGAGATATATTACAAATTAAAAGGAGTGTCTTAAGTAGGAATCATGTCTGTCCATCTTTCTGCAACCTTATGTCAGCACCTAAAATATTGGAACAGATTTTCTAAAAATTTGATAAAGAGTAGCACTCAGAAGTTGTTGAGTGATACTGATTTTCAGCCATATTGATTCATAATACGTACATTGTGATGTATATGAGGATGTAAATGGGCTTTTCCATTTACCTGATATGGTGGTTTGCATTTTTTTTTATTGTTGCAGGAGAGTGTAACCAAAAGTTACCACATAATTCCAATTTTGAGCCACACTGATACATAGTAAAGCCTGTTTTGCATGATGCCGTAAGTGAAATTTACCGTATACACAAAAACCATTAGTTTATATATATTTTATTGCAATTCAGTACAAGAGACTTTCAGTAATTTGCATTTCCTTATTCCTATTTTTGAGTAAGCTTAATAAACCTCGAAGAAGCCACCGGTAACTTTGTGTGCTACATTAGGGAGTATTAACTTCCCAGTCTTGTTAATATTATTTCTTAGTGAATCATGCTCTGGCTCAGGTCATTAGATACTGGATTCCCACAACAGAGACTTAGGTTCAGTTTCATGTGGGATTTAAGGTGGACAGTGTGTTCCCACCATTCCACTGTTCTCCTGCCACTGCCTCAGATGTGCTTTGTACCTGACCAGTCAGTGTGATGTTACAAACTTGGTCCCCAAATGGGGCTTCACCTTCTGAACTGGTCTGTAGCTGGGCTTAAAGTTAAGAACTATTTTTAACAACACTATATCTACTGCAGATTAACACATTCAGTGCCATGCCACTGTACTGGAATTTTACAGGCTGGCACAGTCTGTGGGTTTATTTCTATAGCATTCATATAGAATGTTGACACTGTCCTGTAACATTCTGGACATTCTGTGCCAAGTCTAGCAACATAAACTTTGTGAGACTGAAGGATAATCATAAGACACATGCCTGATTTTAGTATATAAATCATGAGAAACGCATGGAATGCAGATGAACGAGAAAGTATAACCCTGACAGTAGTCTGAAACTCTTGTCTCACAACAAGCCATTTATAAACAGAAGTTTAAACATATAATGTTAAGTGCATGAAATACAAAAGTTACTAGTAATGAAAAGAATATATTCTCATTATTAATGTTTGATATTTGATAACTACAACCTTTTTATTATTTATTTTTATTTTACAAATATCCAGGCTGTATTTATTTTATAAAAATACCTTTGTAATCAGAAATCAACTTCCTCAGGAGAACTTTGAAAACTCGCTTCACCTCTTCAGATTGCTTCTATCCCTTTCAAATTCAAATATGCATAAATGGCTAAATTTTTAGAAATTGACAGTTTCCTAAATCATAAAAGTGTGGAGGTATCAATAAATATATTATTTTATCTCCCTCCTCCTTGAACATTCTTCTTTGTCTTTGGCACTTTCTTGTGAAAGAAACGAAAACTAAATTAGCTCTTACAGACAGATTTGTGTGGTTGTGCAATATAGGACTGAAATATCTAGGAGTCACGTTATGACAAAAATTTATAGTGTTTTTACTCACTTTATAACATACTCAGAAAGCAGAAAGTCTATGTGCATAGGTGGACAAACTACACAGAGCCACCATTTATTGTTCCTTGATTTAACATAAGTCCAGATTTAATGTTCAACTTCAGTTATCCCAGGTCTGTAACATGCATTAAAGATTATCCTGAGTTTAATGTTCAAATCCAGTGCTCACAAAATGAAGCTTAAAAAGTGAGTTCACTGAGTCCAGTAAGTGTGCTCAAATACTTTCACTCTGAAGACTGAATAAAGTGTAACCAATGAACAACACAGTCACAGTTGCTTGCTTTGCAAAATTTTGAAACATAAAATTTATGAGCTAGTTTTTATAATTAAATGGGGCATGTCCTGCTCATAGTGTATCACTGCAGGAATAGCCAAACAGCAGAACACATACACCATAAACAAAATCCTGAGCCCCTTTTCTATTCTGGAAAGTGGGTTAATAAAAGACTGACAAATGACAATTGAACATGCAAACCACATCAAATATTGCTTACACAGTACGCAATATTATATAATAACACAGAAGCTTTGATTAATTCCTCACCTTAAGTGGTGAATATATGAGTTTTGTTTTTCCTGTCAAAGACAATATACCCAACAACTTCCTCACATTTCACTGTGCATAAGTCATAC